ACAATCGAAAACCTTGCAGAAATTATAACTTAAAAGCCAAGATTTAACAAAATGGAAATGAAATGTAAAATTCCACTCGGCACATACAGCACAATATCTCAAACTTCTACAATACTATCCCAAAACCCGGAAACTCACGGGAACACAAGCTAAAAAGGAATACAGTAAAGTGCTCTAATCTCCAGAAATGTCTACATCAATAGTACGATAGAAGGGCTAACACTACAGATAGAGTAAAGAAGGAGACTCTTCGGTCTGCGGACGCGGCAGATGTACCTCGAAGTCTCCGAAATGCTCCCTGCCTCAAGGGTAATACACCTGGGTAGAAGTACCTGGATCTGCACATGAAAAACATGCGCAGAAAGGGCATGAGTACCCCACAACGGTACTCAGTAAGTGCCAAGCCTAACCTCGGTAAACCCCCTTTATATAGTAGGGGAGTCATACTCTAGGTACAACTCTATAAAAGGTAAAAATCCTCTAGGTGGGTCCGCCCGGGCTGAGCCCGGGTCCAATTGTCATATCCAAATTCAAATTCTTTAGTAACTGCTTAAGACAAAGCTCTAAATGCTTATATGTTTACTTGACAGTCAAAAGGAATGGTAAATCGGACTCATAACAGATGTTGAAGAACACTTCGCACGACTAACAGGAAACACAAGCTAGTTTTACTCGGAATCATCAAATATATATGTGATAGTAAAACCAAAACGTAGAATACTAATCGATCATGTAGATATGTAGAAATCCACAAGAGTAGTTACATTGAGCAGCATTTATGGTACTAACATTGATCAGTGACGCATGCGACGACTAAATAAGTAACAACTTGATCATTGTTATCTTTATGCTGAAAAAGATGAAGCAGTTGTTTCTTTAGCATTTGGAAAAAAGAAACCTTCTTTTTTTTCTTCTGAAATTCAAATCTTTAGCAAGAAGCCTAAACAAGATCACCGAACCCACCAAATGCTTCAAGAACAACATCAACAAATATACTCAAAGGGGTTAAGTGAGTAATTGTGGGAATTGAATTCGACCCCAACTGAAATGGGAAACAACTCCAAATATCCCAGTTTTTTTTGGACGAATGACAAGAATGATGGACAAATAATTTAATCAGCTTAAACAATTTATATGCAGCAGCTGTTCCGAAAATCAAGAAAAAAAGAAACTAAAACTCACCTTATAACTGTACAATCAAGGTGAATAAACTGTTCAGGAAGAGAGAAGAGTAAACAAGGAAAATTGGAAGAGGAGATGAGCAGCACTAGAAATTTTGAGGAAGAAACAGAGTGTAGAGAAATCGGGAGGAAATGGAGTGTAGATATGAGCTAACACCAAATTGTTGTTGCTTGCCAGTTCTCCTCATCATCAACTTTACATTAGAGACACTACTCAGTCTTCTTATGTTCTTGACAGTTGTTACCATCCTGGCCACCAAAGAAATTTCTTGCTCTCCTTCTATATTCTGCAGAACCCCACATTTAATTTATCATCGCTGGAATCTAGGAAAATTCTATTGAAGATGAGATAACAGAAAACTTTTATATGGAAGCTTACTATATTTCCCAATATAAATTCTAAATGCCTCCGAGCAGGCATCACCATAGCACTTAAATGTGCTAATGGCTCGAGGGACTTACACTACAAGTCCTTTTGGGTAAAGCTATATTGTTTATTGCATGGACAATCTAACAATGCACCAAATTCACCATTATTAGCGAAAGTTTTGTACCACTCTTCTTTGTTTTGGTCAATCAGTGTGAGTAATCAATTCCTAACTGGTTTTTGAAACCTGTACATCTTTCAAACTTTTTTCACATGAATACATAGTGTTAATAGCACAAAAATATAGTCACCTTTAGTTTCTCATCTTATTATAGTAATACCTTTCACAAGAAAGGCATTCATCAGTTTAGTGATATATAAGGAGATCTTGAACTGATACTCATTTAGAAGTGACTCTACTTATCCTCAAAATCAAAAATTTCAGTCATACACAAATCTTCCTGTCAACCCAATACAGAAAGTTTATTGCAAGAAACCTAGAAGAAAGTGAATTTGAAACCCAAACGATAAAAATAAACTTGCATGATATTACCTTCAGATTCTGATAGTCAAATTTTAAACGTACTGAGCCTGGCCATTTGAAGTATCTGTTACGAATGTAAGGTAACTTTAGAGATAGATTAAGATAACAGAAAACAATAGGACACTACAACATTATGCATCTATAGCTACGAAATTTTTGCTATGAATTTAATAATTATAGCTAATACCTAATAATAGCCACACAAATTAGAATTCCGTGGCTATTTACAAAATTATAAAATTTCTTTGCCACGAAAATTAAGTTGGTAAAGCTAATTCCTCGTATTAGCTATACTTGCTAACAATCGTGGCAATAGCTACATAAATAGCTATAAATTTATTGTTACAAATTAAATTTTGTAGCTAATCATAAGTTTTTGCCACGCGACAATAGTTATTGTAGCAAAAGTAACCTTTTAGCTACAATAAATTATTTGAAACAAAATATTATAGCTAAATGAATACTTTTGCTTCAAGTTTTAAAAAGTTGTGGCAGTAGTTAAATGATATAGCCACAAATTTATTGCTATAACTGAATTCTGTAGCTAATCATTAATCTTTTGCCACGACTTGAAACTTACTATAGCTATAATAACTTTTTAGCCACAATAAAATATTTGAAATAAAATATTGTAGCTAAATGAATATTTCTGCTTCAAGTTATAAAAAGTTATGGCAGTATAGGTTAAATTAGCCACAAATTTCTTGCTCTAATAGAATTTCGTAGCTAATCATTAGTTTTTGCCACGAGTTGAAACTTCATATAGCAATAGTAACCTTTTAGTCACAATAATTTTTTAAATCAAAATGTTATTAAATAAATAATTTTGTTTCAAGTTCTAAAAAGTCATGGCCATAGTTGGCTTAGTAGCTACAATTATTTGTCACGCTATTTGAATATTTGTTTGATTCAATCTAATGTGAAAAATAATTACATTTACTTGAATTTGAAAATGTATCGAAAATTACAAGTATATTTAATATGATTATGATATTACTAGTTAGTTAGTTTTGTTATTAACACTTGCTATGATAACCCATATTAAAATCTAAATTTTGTGAAGTAAAACTTATAATATTGAATTATGTAAAATATTATAAAATATCAAATAATTAGTGTCCAAGAGAAAACATGATTCTCTTCCTTATATCTTTATCATTATTTATTCTCATCTTATGTTCAATGTATAATTTAATTTGTTGAAATTTTAGAAACTTGTATATTTTATAATTATTTTTTCTCTTGTTGAAGTGTGTGGGTGCGCGCATGATATGGTACAAGATTATAGTTGTTTAAAATTTTATTATAATTAGTCATCCCACACAATTTAATAGCTATCATTCCATTACATTTGAATGAAGAATTATAACATAATTTAGTTTTCACGTGGGATCTTAAGTTCCTAACTTAATTTCGTAATTCTTTGTGTAAAAGCATTACCAATAATTATATAAAATTTAATGAATTAAATCTTCATAATTTTTGTTAGTGTTAAATATGTTCATTGTATTGTATGTTTGGAGCATTTGGTATTTGTTTAAAATTAAATGCACCATAAACCATCACAAAAGTTCATACAATTTATGGGAAACTTATTTCAAAATGACATCATTAATTATCATGAAATTATTTCGTAGGTTTAAATACTTAAATATGTGTGTGTTGTGTGTATATGATATCTTATCAATATATTATATATATATATATTCTATCTATCTATCCTATCTATCTCTCCTATTATATATATATATATATATATTATATATATCAAACAACGTCTTAAAGTCTTTCAAATATATGAGGACTAAAATATATTATAATATATATACATATATATATATATATATATATCATATATATTATATATAATATATATATTATACTAATATAATATATCAAAACAACTCTTAAAGTTCTTCAATAGTATGAGGACTTAATTGTAAAATAAATTCTTAAATATATTAAGAAATTTACCCTAAGGAGTTACATAAAATAATGAGTTAAGTTACAAAGACATACATAAATTCTCTATTATTGATGTTAATTATATTTTGAATTTACACCAATATATATAATTAACGTCCAAACTATAAAATGTTTGCAATAAAATAAAATGATGAGTTTGATAATAAAACTAAAATTGGTAAGTTTTGAGGCTACAAATAGGCATCAAATGATCTTATTATTGAAGATTAACTATTTTGCAATTTAGTTTTGTATTATTAAAGTTTATTAATAACTTCCTAATGTTATACATAATTACTATATTTTCAATTATTTTGTAGAAATCTAACTTCTATAGTTAACAATTGAATTTTCATTAACCTTGATAGTGTGTTTTGAGCAACTTCATTATTTTTGTCTCTTTGAAAAAAAATATTCACCTATGGAAATTTTTGCAACAATATAACTTATGTGTTAAAATTACTGATTTTAATTGCAGTGACATAATCCTTAACTATTACAGGCCAAAGTTATTAATAACTGGTAAATTTATCGCGTTCTCTAGTTATTTGTGGCTTATTACTTTGTCATGACAAATAGCTTTAACTTTTATCTAAACTATTTTCTATTTAATTAGGAAGATTAAATATTTAATCTGGACTACAAAACTGTAGATTCAAACTATTTAATGTGGCTGGATTTACCTGTGTGGAAAAAAAAAACTTATGATGAGTTATATAAAATTTATCTTATTAATTTGTGTTATCATTTTTAGCG